CGCTTTCAATACAATTGCGCCAAATCTATTGCACCACCCTCTTTCAGCTGGGCCCCCGTTTGGGCCAACCAAAAGGCACAGGGGCGCGGCGTCAGGACGGTGCACGAGGCGCCGGAGGATATACCGCCGCCGCTCCTGGGCGGCGACAGCGAGGAGGACGGGGCCGTCACCCGAGGCATCGCGCTGCGGTACCAGTTCGAGGCCCTGCTGAACGAAGTGCGCTACCCTCCGAGCGCCCTGCAGTGCAGCTGGCGGCTCCGGCCGACGGGGCACCCCGTGCCCGAGGACCTCGTTGACGACGTCCCCCCGCGACCCTTCGAGCTCCGGAGCAACGCGGACAGCGCCCCGGCGCCTCAGCCGCCGCACTTCGCGCAGCACCCCCTGCGCCCAGAGCAGCTCAAGAGCCTGGGCTGGATGCTGGAGCAGGAGTGCGGTCGTGGCCTGGGCCCGTTCCAGGTCGAGTGGCGGCGCTACTGGACCACCAAGCCGGAGGAGATCGACGAGAACGCGTGCATGAGCCTGGTGTCCCGCGGCATGCGGGTGTCGATTACGCCCGCACGATGCCTCAAGAACAGTCCCCAGGAGAAAACGGTGTGCACGGTCAAGAAAGTAGGAAGGTCTGCGGTCACTGTTTCGTCGCCTTCTGGTGACGACATCGATTGCCCTGTCAGCAAGCTCGACGGCTTTTCCCTTCACGAGGTCATGCCGTTGCCGTTGGAGGCTGGGTGCCTCGTGCGAGTTCGCGGGGACGTGGCCGTCCCGAAGTACGGCTGGGGAAACATCGACCACGATTGCTTGGGAGTGGTGAAGTGCGTGCAGAACGAGGATGTGCTCGTCTTGTTCGACAAGTCTGTGCGGGCCAGGAGCCCGCCACGGGCTGCTAAACGAGCTGAAGAGAGGATGCCTCTCGCCCCCACCGCGCTCGGGCCGGCGCCTGGGAGAGGGGGGCGGGCGGAGGGGCGCCAGGAGGCTGCTTGCCATGGAGGCTCATACCTGGCCGTTGACTTTAGCATCGATCTCCGAACGGTGACTGCATCTCGGGGTGTTTGCTTGTGCCGGAGAGATCCGGCCCCGGGGGCCGCAGTCGGCCGTTCCCGCCCGGTGCTGTGGTTCATTGTTCGGCGTCGCGTCAGCGTGACCCTTCGCCAGAGTGACCTCTGGTGCGGGCACGCAGGGGTCCCACCGTCACCAGCTGGCGTATTCGGGTTGCTTGGATTTGGCCTCCCCTACGGCCCCCCACAGCCGCGCACCAGAGGTTCCTCTTGCCTAGGGTCACTCTTGCGTGCAGCCGAATTGTGGGCCGCAGGCGGCAGTTCCCGCTCGGTGACCTGCGTACGGTCGGCAGTTTCCGCTCCGTGCCCGATAATTTCCGGTGGCCCTCTGTGGACCGCAGTCGGCCGTTCCCGTTCGGTGGAACTTGCGCATTCCAGAACGCAATTGCATTGGAATTCGCTGGCATTCAGTTTCCCGCATTCTGGAAAATCCCATAGGGATGAAACCCATGGGGCTCAGGGATGAAACTGGAAACAGAATGGGAAGCCATTCGGTGGCCCTCTGTGGACCGCAGGCACAGCATCGGAATGCCGCCTGACAGCTATTGGAAGCCCTGGGGGGGCACCCTGAAATCCCCCAAAGCCTTCCGACCCCATACCACTCTGCATCCCCCCTTCCGCCCTATCCATCTTGTCAGGACTTGGCACGGGATGAAGAGCGAGATGGAGAGGGTGTCCCTTGACACGGCGGGATCGAGCAACAACATGCACCCTGAGCTCCGGGTCCAGGCCTTTGGAAGAAGGAGGTGGAGGAGGGCAAGTCTCATGGGGTTCTGGGGGGTTGGGGGTCTGGGGATCCTACGAGTGTTCTGGGAGGTCCTGGGCTACTCTGGAGGGACGAGGGGGGAGGAGGAGGAGGAGGAAGCGGAGCAAAAGAAGAAGAAGAAGAAGAAGAAGAAAAATAAGGATATATGCAATGTGGGGAAGCAGAGGAGGAGGTCCGGGAGGTGAGAGACGAACTCTCCCCACCAGGCTTCTTACGACGTGAGGGGCGGCATATTGGGGGACAAGATTGGCTTCGGGAAGACGGCCACGACCATCGGCCTGATCGATGCCACGTCCGCGTCTCCCCTGCCAGCGGTCCCGGCGATCGATAGGGGCAGGTTCATCCCCGCGAAGGTCAGGGACGGCCAGATCTCGGCGGCGAGCGTGGGGGGAACGTGAGAAGGAGAAGCCCTTCTCAGAAGGCGGCGGGACCTCTCAGAAGCCCTCGTGCCTTCGGAGAAGTTTCCCGTGTCTTCGGGGAAGTCTCCGAAAATTTCTCGGAAGGCGGGGGGACTTCCGAGCATTCTGAGAAGGCCCGCCCTTCTCTCCTCCCCCCCTGGCTCGCCGCCGAGGAACGTTCACTGCTTCTCTAGACCAGCAGTTGCTTTGGTATCCACGACGTGAGCTCCCAGAGTTGAGTCGGGCATGTCCCTCTACAGGAGGAGTAGTCCAGGGTAGTCAAAAATAGCCTGGTAACGATCGTTCGTGCTCTTTTGACTATGTTTAATTTTCTTGTTTGGCTATTTCTACATTTCTTCCAAAATCCGACTGTACACGCCGGTCGTTGAAAGTAGGAATTTCTGGATTCCCAGATCCCAATATGTTTCAAGTGCCTTCCTACTGCAAGAACGGGTATGCTTATGCTCTGTGATGTTCTTCTTTGCTTGGGAGGGCCTGAACCCAATCTACACGATCCGCCGCCGTCCTACGTCATGCTTTTACCTACCTCCTTCGACCGACGTGTAGGAGGACATGCCCGACCGAACCCTGGAGGTCTGAAAGAGCGCGTTATGTGGGCGCTTTGAGAAGGGGGGGGGGGAACGGGACCCCCCCCCCGGATTGAAAGGGGGGGCGGGGGTTCGAGCCCTCCTCCCCCCCCATCCCCCCCTTCTCCCGTGACGGAAGAGGAGAGGGGGGGGAAGGGGTTCGAACCCCCCCCCTCTCTCCCCTCCCTCCTCCCCTGCTGCACGGAGGCCTCGGCCCCATCGCTCTGGCCCGCGGTTGGCCCGCGGGGAGGCCCTCGCGCGCGGCCCGCGACAGGGCCCGAGCGCGCCCCCCTCCCCCCCCCTCGCCCGCCGGCCGCCGCCGCCCGCGAGGCCCCGCGCGGCGTGCCCTCCATGGGGCGGCGGTGGGGGGCCCTAAAACGACGCGAAGATCGGGACAAAATCGGAGCGGGATAACTCGAAATCTCTGAGAGCCGGCGGGTTTGGAGGATGTGTTGGGCGCCGCGGCCGCTCCAGCGGCCGCTCCAGAGCGTTCCGGAACGCTCTGAGAGCGCTCCGGAACGCTCTGGAGCGATTTATCCCGATCCTCGCCATGTTTTAGGCCCGTGCCCCGCTCGCAGAGCGCCGGGCTGGGCTCGGGCAGAGTCCCTCGACAGGAGGGGCATTCGAGAGCGTGTTAAGGAAATGGTCTGGCGTCGAGTCGTCTTGTGTGTTTTCTTTGCCCACTGGGGAATCTACTGTCTCATCATCTCATACCGTGATGCCAAGAGTCCGCTTGTAGGAGGACATGCCCGACCCGACGCTGGACCTTCCAGATGGGGTAGGAGCACCGTCAACCCGCATGGTAAGGATGGGCAGCCTGCCCAAGGGTACCCCTTGCATCCAGGCCCCTTCGGCCCCTCGTCAGGTTTTCGGCAGCGGTGGAGGCCCGTGTCCGCTCACAGAGCGCTAGGCCTCCCAGATGGGGTCGGCGCACCGTCAACCCGCACAGTAAGGATGGGCCACCTGCGCAAGGGTGCGCCTTGCATCCTTGCCCCTTCGGCCCCTCGGAATGTGTTTGGCGAGGTTGGAGGCGCGTGTCCGCTCACGGAGCGCTAGGCCTCCCAAGATGTTGTCGGAGTAGAGTCAACCCGCATAGTCATGACGAGCGACTTGCCAAGGGTACGCCTTGCATCCTTCTCCTTCGGCCCATCCTAGGCCGCTTTCGTTGGCCGCGCCCCGCCCGCAGGGTGTCGACATGGCCTTCAAAGGCCCTTGCATCATTATTGCGCGTCCTTCTGATACGGGTCGACTGTAGACGGGGTCGGAAGATCGCCCACATCGCTGATGCATCGGCGATGCGGCTCGATGTGGAGCCCGATTCTCTCCGCGCCGACGCATCGCCGACGTCGCCCATGCATCGTCGATGCATCGTCGATGTATCGGTTTTGCTTCGGCGATGCGGCGCGATCCTCCGACCCCATATGCTCGGACATCATCTGGGGGGTCTCTAAGAGTGCACTTGTCTTGAAAGGGCACGTTAGTGATCGTGCCCTCCAACCTCTTCGAGCAGTGGCTGACCGAGATCTCCAAATTCACGTGGGATGGCCAGAACCTGAAGAAGAGGACCGTGCGGCTTCGTTCTCCCTCGCTGCTTTTTCTCTCCTCCGCTCCTGCCCTCGTTCCTTCTCTCCTGCCACCCCTCACGCCTGTCAAACGAATGAGATCTGTTGAGACAGTACAGCGGGAGTCCCGGCGGGACCCCTGGCGGGACACTAGCCAGCAGACTTGGTATGTTGGCATGTTGTGGTGCCGCCAGGGGGGGGAAGACGGAGATGAGGACGAGGGTAAGAATCAATGGAGGACAAACCACCCGGACTGGACAACGGGCGTTTACTGAACGGCCCTGGTAGTTTCTAAACAGCCCTGTTTGATTCCTTCTTTGGGTGCATGTTCTAAACTGCTTCGCGTGTCGGGGTGGTTATCGTCGGAGTGGATGCTCTGCCCTCTGGAGGAGGAGGACGGGGCTGAAGAGGAAGAGGCGCGAGGAGGAGGAGGAGGAGGAGGAGGAGGAGGAGGAGGAGGAGGAGGAGGAGGAGGAGGAGGAGGAGACCTCGCGGTAGCGGTAGTCTCTTGGGGGGGGGGGCCCTCTGCTCTCGGGGTTCTCCGGAGGCCTCGTGGGGGAAGCTGGGTCGGCGACGAGCCCGGGGGCGAAGTGAGAAGGGGCGTGCCTGCTCGGAAGGTTTGGAAGTTCCCAGCCCGACGACGACGATGACGGTGACAACGACGACGACGACGACGTCATCGTCAGCGTCATCGTCTGAGAGAAATTTCCGCGCCCTCCCGAAGGTACAAGAAAAGCAGAAGGCCGGAGGCCTTCTGAGAAGCTCCACCGCCTTCTGAGAAGGCCTTCTGCTTCTCATGTCCCCCCCTTCGCTCGCCGCCGAATCGGGGGGCCTGTGAAGGGGAGGAGGAGGAGGAGGAGGAGGAGGAGGAGGAGGAGGAGGAGGAGGAGGAGAGGAGGAGGAGGAGGAGGAGGAGGAGGAGGAGGAGGAGGAGGAGGAGGAGGAGTAGGAGGAGGAGGAGGAGGAGGAGGAGGGAGGAGGAGGAGGAGGAGGAGGATAGGAGGAGGAGGAGGAGGAGAGGGAGGGGGAGGAGGAGGAGGAGGAGGAGGAGGAGGAGGAGGAGGAGAGGAGGAGGGGGAGGAGGAGGAGGAGGGGGAGGGAGGAGGAGAGGAGCTGGAGGAGACTCTGTGGGCGTCTTGGGGCCTTTTTGGCATGTCTCAGGGCACTGACACCCGCCTGTCGCCGTCGGAGGCCATTTTGGGGACCTCTGTGGGCCTTTCGGGGGGCGGGGGCCCACACACCCATCGGAAATCTTGAGAGACGCATCCATGTTCATGGACTCCAGATCTCGCTGCAGAAGGCAAGAATCTACGCTGGACCCTGGGCGGTTTCGTGGACCTCTGCTTTTTGGTTCGCAGAACGTTCGCACACCTCTGGGCCCTGGACTACTGCTGAAGAGACCACTTGGAATGAAGTGCGCTTTCGTAGCTCAAGCGCTTCTCAACTCTAAGCAGGGGTGCAGGGCCGTCGTCGAGGTATCTCGGGGTGCGTGGCGGCCCTTCGGGGGGGCCGCCTTGGGCGCTCCCTTGGGCCCCCATCGGCCCTGAGGCCGGCTTCACGCCGCGGGTAGTCTTGCTGACCGGTTCGGGGCACGAAGGTTTCCCGCCGAGGTCGAGCCAGGGCTCATCTCGATTTCTCCGATTCGATCCGATTCAATTTCGACGGGGTCCGATTCCGATTCGGTTCGACTTCGGATTCCGATTTGGACTTCGATTTCTCAATGGAGGCCTACCAGCCTGCCGATGTCCGCCGATCCGATTCATTTCGATCGCCGATCCAACTTATGGATTCGATTCTGGGCTCACCTCGGTTGGTCTGATTCAAGAGACCTCCGTCATTATCTCTCACGCGCCGCAGGAAGGGCTGGGGGCGGTGCGTGGCGGGGGGCGGCGAGAGCCGTGATTACGTGCACGCGCCAGCCCTAGGCCCACCTGGCCCGAGCCGGGCAGGCGCCTGCACCGAGCCCCGGGCCCAGGAGGCACCCCATCTGCAGGGCCGGCGCACACGACGAGGAGCTCCGGCCCGGTGCGTCGCGCCGCCAGCTCCGGCCCACCACGCCTGGCGGAGTCAGGCAGCCACCACCTCGCCCTCCTCCTCATCTTCCTCCTTCGCCGTTGCGAAGATATCTGCCCTCCTCCTCCTCCTCCTCCTCCTCCTCCTCCTCCTCCTCCTCCCTCCTCCCTCCTCCTCCTCCTCCCTCCTCCCTCCTCCTCCTCCTAGCCTCGGCGCGGCACGCTGTCCACGTCCCGGCCCCCGGGCTTCAGCGTCCCGAGCCTTTCCCCGCCTCTCGGGGGCGGCAAAGAGGGGGGTGATGACTAGGGGGGGGGGGGATATCATGGCGGGGGTCATGATAGTTCCCCAGATTTCATGGCGCCTCTTCTTATTCCCTGGCCCCCCCGCGGGGCCGCGCACATGCCGCCGGTCATGATTTGCACCCCCCCCTCTTGGACACCCCCCTCTTGGCCGCTCCCGAGCCTCCCGCCCCGAGGAGCGGGGCACAGCGTGTCGCCGGGGCCGCCGCCGCGGCACGCGAGCAAAGCTCCTCACCGCATACATGATACTGATGGTGTCCTCCTACATATTAGAGGAACAGAATATGGCATAACCATACACTTTTGGAGGTCCGCGCGAATTGCTTGGATCGGCGCTGAAACACCCCTCCAGGCGCGCGGAGCACTTCAGGGGCGGCGCCGAAGGCGCCGCCAGGGGCTCCGGCGCCGATCCGAGAAGTCCACGCGGACCTTCGAAAGCCTTCTCCCCAAACAGTGCTTGCACTTAGGCGCTCTTCACTGTTCTCTAACGAGCTGGGCTGGTGTGCCACTCTGGCGGCTACGTGGCCGCCGTCGCCGCCTCGTCGCCACCCGCCGTCTGGGCTGGTCTGCCGCTCTGGCGGCTACGTGGCCGCCGTCACCGTTCCGTCGCCGCTTCGTCGCCGGCCGTCGTCCGGGTCGGCGCGCTGCCCGGGCAGCGATGTGGCCGCGGTCGCCGCCCCGTCGACGCCCTAGACCGCACAACCACCGCATAGGTAGCACCACAAAGAGTCCAACGAAAGGAAGAAATAGGTAGCCCTGGATCCTATTCCCTTTTCAGAAAGGAAGATGCACCGCCCTAGATTGCACAAGCACCGCATAGGTAGCACCACAAGGAGTCCACCGCACGCATCTTCCTCTCTGAAAAGGGAATAGGATCTACCGCCCACCCCCCGTAGTTAACCGACTGGCCTCGCGCCCTGCAGATTGCATACGAGCACGCCCCAACGGTCACTCGAAGTCTGCAGTTGTACCACCCTGGGGGAACCAAAACTGGCCCCCTCACCCCTGACAAGTTAATAGTATGCGCGCGGACCCGTTTTTCAAAAAGCATATGTTTCCAAGAGCCCCTTGCAAAAGATGAGACAAAGTCCACGCGTGCGTCGTCGCACGCGCATACCGGCATCATTTCAAAACCTTAGGTTTCGTAAGGATTTCAAGATCGAGCGCCCCGAACAAATGTTTGAATGGTTTGGCTTGGCAACATGGCTGCTGCAAAAATGTGTTCGCGCGCAACCTTGCGAATTCTTAAGAAAACAAGAGGCGCTTCAACATTTCCATCAAATCCGACCAAGCGGGCCTCTCGCGCGCGCATGTCGAAATTATTCGAACGCAATTGCGCGCGTGTCGGGGGGACACGATCCATGCCAAATGATACCACGCGGGCCACTCACGCCCGTCGGACCCGCACGCATGTCGAACTCCTTCCAAAACCCTCATCACAGGCACGTGGACACCATTATCGTCATCGGCGTGATCAGCATCGGCGCCGTCACTGGCCTTGTCGTCGTCACTGTCATCATCGCCACCAACATCGCTACTATCATCATCGTGTCTGCCAATGCCGGCGTTCCCATGATACCGCGCCCGCCCACGGGGCCGACTCGCATTGAAGTTCCCGCTGGGAAGTGCCCAGCTGTCAGCGCCACCGCCACCGCGTCGGTCGCGCCAAACTAGCTGGCCGCTTCGCGCGCGAGCATGCGCGGGTTAGCGCGGCCGCAGGGATGCACCAGCCAACTTCAAGCACTCATCGCAGTCGCCGCCGCGTGATTTGTGCATACCAAGTTGCGGGCCGGTGGGTGGGATGGTTGCGCGAGCAGTGGAGTTGACAACCCATTGCGAACTGAAATTACACGTTTTTTGTTTTTACAAAAGGGCATGCTGGATCGATCCACCCCCCCCGGACTGAACGGTTCCCCTTTCCGTGATGCAATGTACACGTGATCCTGCCCCACCGTCCATCCGAAAGATGAATTTACACCGTCCCGGGCAGGCTGGCTTTGGACCCCCCCTTCCTTTCTGCTAAAAGCTACGCGCGCGCACCCGGTCATCAAAATCTTCGGTTGTCAAGAATCCCTTGGGGAAAATCAGGAACGAAGTGCACACGTGCGCGTCGTCGCGTGCGCATGCCGAAACCTTCGGTTTCGTAGGGATTTCAAAATCGAGTGTCCCGAAAACACATTTAAAACACAGGAGCTCGCAACGAGGATGTTCAATACGAATGTATATTTACATATATATATATATATACATATACATATACATGTATACAAACAAGTGCGCTCGGGCTCTTGCGAATTTTCAGGAAGCCATAGGTTCTTCAAGGTCTTCATAAAATTATACCAAACGTGCCTCTCGCGCGCATTCCGAAATCGTTCGCACGCCCTTGCGCGCGTGCTGTTGCAATAACCCCTTGCAAGAAATGCGCACGCGCGTCGTCTCGTCGCGCATGCCGAAATCCGCCAAAACAATCGTCGTTTTCGTGGGGCGTTCAAAATCTAGCGCCCCCCCAAAACAACGTTTTGCAACATCAGTGTTAAAAAAGTGTTTGCGCTCGCGCTCCTGCGAATTCATAAGCAAACCATCGGTGTTTCTTCGTCGTCGTCGGCGTGATCAGCATCGGCGCCGTCACTGGACGTGCCGTCGCCGCTGTCATCATTGTCGCCAGCGTCGCTATGATCATCATCGTGTCTACCGTTGCCGACGTTGCCCTGATATCGCGGCCGCCCAAGTGGCTGAACTGCCCGCCGGGAAGTGCCCAGGGGTCAGAGCCACCGCGGCCGCGGCGGTCGCGCCAAATTAGCTGGCCGCTTTGCGCACGAGCATGCGCGGGCTAGCGGGGCCGCAGGGATGCACCAACCAACTTCAAGCACTCATCACAATCGCCGCCGTCTGGGTTTTGCAAGACAGGTTGCGGGTGGGTGGGTGGGATGACTCCGCCAGCAATAGAGCTGACAGCTGCGAGCTCCATTGGTGAATTCTTCTTTCTTAAACGTTGGGATTTCCACCCCCGGACATAACCGCCCCCTTTTCGTATTGCATATGTGCAATTGACATACGATGCTGCCCCGCCGTCCACCAGAATTGTGAACTCATACCATCCCAGGCAGGCCAGTGACACTTCCCGCCCCTCATCCCCTGCAGAGGAAAACTACGCGCGCCCTCTCATGAAGCCGAGAAGACGTTGCGATGAGGACCGTTTTGGGGCTCGGGAAGGGGCTCTGGCTTCCGGGCCGCTCTGCAGATCCAGGTCGGGGGGCCCGTTCGTGGCCCTGGCCCGCCGTGGCCAGAGAAGCTCCCTCGCTCCCTGCAGTGGAGCTTGGCTGCTGGGTCGGCCCTTCTACGTGAAGGGTATATCCGTGCGCCTTGCGTCTCGCGACCCATGTCCTCTACAGCTCTACTACGGGTCGCGAAAACGACCACAGCCATTGCTTTTCTTTTGTTGCCGCCTTCCACCCCGCAGAAACAAAGCAGTGGTTGTGGTCATTTTCGTTGAGCTTGGCACCAAAAAATGACCACAACCACTGCTTCTTTTTCGGCCGGCTGGAAGGCGGCGCAAACAAGAAGCAGTGGCCGTGGTCATTTTCCCGTCCCGCATGGCGACGTGGCCCTCGGAAGGCCCTCGCGTCCTCTCGCGTGCCCCCCCCGATCAAACCCCGAGCGTACGATGGACTCTCCTGCTGCAGCACGATGACGGCGTGGCTGGCGCCGCCCCCGCGCCCCGCACCCTGCAGGATGTCCGGGGGCTGGTCTCCTGCCGGCTGCCCCCTGCGGGTCTTCGCCGCCTGCGACGTGCGCGCCGTCGCCGCGGCGAAGGCCTCGGCGCTGGCGGAGGCCGACGTCGTGCTCTGCTCCTACCGGCTGCTGTACTCGCAGGCCGCTCGGGGGTCCCCTGAGATCCTGGCGTCTCCATGCCCTCGAGCCTGGCATTGTTTATTTTTTCAGACCCCGGGGCCCTTCAAGATCGGTCCGGCTCGAAGATGGCGCAGCAAGAGGGGGTCCGGGGCCCCGGTCGTGGTTGTTCACTGGAGCCCGACGGGGAGCCGGCTGGGGGTCTGAGGTGGCCCAGTCTTGGTTCGGGCCAGCAGGAAGGGAGGGAAGAGGTTCGAGGCGCTGGGTTCGACAAGGTGTATTGCCTTTCTGGCCTCTGGGAGCCGTTTTCGGGCCCTGGGACCATCAAAAAGGAATCCGGCATCCCCCTCTCCTGACCGATGTTCTGGGGTCCCAAACAGTTCAGAGCCGTAGGCGCAGTAGATGTTGGCGTCGGGGTCGCTTCAAAGTCTAGGCCTCCCAAATGAGGTACGTGTAGATAGGGTCGAAGAATCGCGACGCATCGCCGATACATCGGCGGTGCGGCTCGATGAGGAGCACGATCTTCTCCACGCCGACGTCGCCGATGCATCGCCAATGTCGCCAATACAGTGCGCCAGCGATGCGACCCCATCGACTCGGACCCCAATTTGGCGTTGTCGCAGGTTCCTGTTGGTCTTGTGGCTTTTCCAGCCTCGGGCTGCGTTCCAGCAGCTCCGCCTCGCCGGGAGCGCTCGTGGGGAGGCCAGGAGCGTCCCGAACGGCCGCCCGAGACCCGAGTACACGACCCGAAGACCAGACAGCGCCGTTTTATATATATATATATGCTCCGCGTGCGGATCATGTATTTAAAATGCAGGGATTTAGTATAAAAAACAACGATGAGTTCACGCGTAAATTCATTCATACATGAACCATGAGTTTAGATCCTGGATTACTTAAACAAATCCTATGTACTAAAAACTGCCCTGGGCCAACTTCCACCATGAAGGAGAGGGGTCCCGGCGAAAACGGGTCCTGGAGGTTTCTGGCCTCCACGGGCCCCAAGACCGTCCAAAAACCAGTTCGGGAGGAAGCACTGGTCCCAGGGAGGGCCCTGGGCTCCCGGGCTTGTTCCCCGCAGGGCCTGCAGGCTTTTCCTGCTGGCACGCAGGAGTCCGCACGTCTCCGACGGCCGGCTCGAATGGCTCGTGGATGTGCTCTCCGGATGTGGGATGACTTTCAGCGTTTGCGGCTCGTCGAGGGCCTTCTCCTCCTCCTCCTCCTCCTCCTCCTCCTCCTCCTTCCTCCTCCTTCCTCCTCCTCCTTCCTCCTCCTCCTTCCTCCTCCTCCTCCTCCTCCTCCTTCCTCCAGCATTGCGTTTGGGGCGTCGGAGTGCTCCCGACCGCGGCCCACCGGCCCCGGGTCGGCTGTGGCAGCCAGCCGTGCCGAGCCTGGGGCTCCAGGGGCCCGTGGAGAGCCCCTTCGGCCCAGGGTGGGAGTGCGCACGCAGCGGAATCTCGGAGGAAGTGAGGAAGTCGGGGGCGGCAAAGAGGGGGGTGATGACTAGGGGGGGGTATCATGGCGGGGGCCATGATTTTTCCAGATTTCATGGCGCCTCTTCTTATTTCATTTACGTCCCTGGCCCCCCCGCGGGCCGCGCACGATGCCGCCGCGCCGCGGTCACGATTTGCACCCCCCCCTCTTGGACACCCCCCTCTTTGCCGCCCCCGAGGAAGAGAAGGTGCCGTAGACGCGCTGACGGCGATGCAGGTAACGGCGATGTAGGTTTCGGTATTGTGGGACCGCGCGGTTCGAACTTTCCTACAATTCGCTGTCGTCTTTGTCCGATACATCCGCAGATCGGAAATGTAGGAAAGTGTGGTTCGTGATTTCCTACACTTCGATGTCCAACATCACTGTTAAGCGTGGCCTGGGAGGTGCCCATACCGCTACCCCTTCCCCCGTTTCCCCTCTTCGGGGCCTCCCGGGAGGCCCTCGTCGCCACCGCTGGATTCTCCTCGAGATCCTGGTCAG